GGCCACGACCGCTATGTCTAGGCCACGGTCGCGGATGGCCATGGCCGTGATGGGCCACAGTCGCGGGAAAAAAAAAAAAAAAAAAAAAAAAAAACGGCCTTAACGAAACTGCGACCCTGACACCACTCTCGGCCTGAGTTACAACCGCCTTTTCGAACTCAGGCCATGACAAAGTTGCGGATGCCTGTTTTTTCTGCCCATTACGAACTCCCATGTGACATAAACGTACTTCCCCAGGTTCCCCTTTTTTTTTTTTTTGCGCTAGGGGGCGGGGATAGGGTTGCGCAACCCCAACCAGCCCCCCCCCCCCTCGCCTCCCTCCCCCCCCCCTACTGGCCGCCACGGCGGCCACGCGTCCCGCGGCCGCCGCCGCGGGGGGATTCATAGCCTTGAGTCTATGCTGTTACGCCTGTATTTGGAATGTGGTGGCTGCGCACCTGGAGTGCCAGCGTAGTTGTTGTTGAATCTGAATAGCAAGGGAGCTCTGCTTCTTCTCCATTGCCGCCTTGTCCGAGTTTTCATGTGTGCCAAAGACTATGTGTTCCAACTAAGTCATGTGCGTGACCTTGAATGTGTGTCGAATGTGTCTAATGGTTGCATCATGCTTCGCTGTCAGAAGGTTTATGGATGCATGATGTGAATGCATGGTTGATTACGGACTGAATGGTTGTCCTCGCTGTCCCTGTTTTCTCCTTCCGCACGTACGCGTGAGGAATTAAGTAGGTGGAAGCCGTCTGTGTGGATGTATGAGTGTGCTGACACCCCCTTGTCCCGACAACTTCCAGGATCTCCGCACCGCCCGCATGTATGAAGGTCGCTGCCGCGCCTCCTTTTCCCATCTTCCGCCCCACTGCATGCAAGGGCAAGCCCCCGCCATTTTTGTGCAAAGTGATAATTTTGTTTTGGTCGCTATCATGCATTGAGTCTTGGTGCTGTGATTGGGTGTCCGGTCCGAGCCAGAATGCAGTGGAATTTGCATGGAGTCGTGGTTTACTCGCCTGAGTACAAGCACGGAAAATTGTCCATGCTCGAACCTCACATAGATCTGCCATAGCAACCTTCCCACCTTTCCGATCGCAGATGAGGACAGACTCTACTGCAAGAGGACGCTACTGCGAGCCGATTGGGTTCACCTCTACGACCCGTCGAAAGCTTGTGACATTGGTGAGGAGGGATTCATGCTGATTGATCGACTTGCCTCTCCCCTGTTGATCTTGCCTTACTTGGATCCCACCGTGCTCCACTGGGTCGTGGTGCACGCCGTGTGGCAGCCTCACTTCAACTGCAAGTGGTGCAAGCAGAAACCCGTGTTCCTGGCGGCGGATGGTGCTGGGGTACAAAGGCTTTGTCCGGTTCCACGGATCTCTCCCTTAACGTGGGTGCGGTCCCGGTACCCCCGTGCCCACCGCCATCAGATGACGAGGCATCCGATCCTTCCGACAGTCGAGATTAACCCCCCCCCATCACTTGCAAAGTCCCCTTTTTCCTTGGCCCCACTAAAAGGGTGAAACATAGCATAGAATAGGGTGCTTGTTCATTCCTTTTTAAGTTTTAACGACTTGTTTCTTATGCATAAATACCCCTGTGAGCTGGGGAAATTTTAGAAAATTATTCTGTCTTTCTGCCTAAAAGTTTCCAGCTATTTTGAGACTGACCAGTGTCCAGGTTTGCACTTTTCCGGCGGCCTCCTTGGAACTGAGGCAAGAACCCCGGTTTCATCCTGTCAGCTCAATCCCCTGCCTAAAATCCTCGCCCACACCCTCTTTACTCTGATCGGCATTCTCAATCGTACGAGACGAACGTATCACAAGCAGATTACCTCCGTTGGTAAGACACGCCACTTGCATTCTAGAGGTCTTGGGTTCAATCCCCATTTATGAATCCCCCTCGGCGGCGGCCAAGCGCAGCCGATTCCGCGGACGCGTTCGCGTGGACACGCGGCTTTGACGCCACGTGGCGGCCAGAGGGGAGGGGGGTTGGGGATTCGGGAAGCGCCATGGGGCGGCGCAACCCTGGCCCCACCCCCTCGCACAAAAAAAAATGAAAAAAAAAACAATTTTTATTTGGGGGGGTTGGGCTGCGAACGAGGAGAAATGAAGAAAAAAAAAATGAACGCATTTATTTCTTCGTTTTTTTTTTTGGTTGATTGATTGATTGATTGATTGATTGATTGGTGGGGGCAGGGTGGCCCCACCCCGCCTTTGATTGATT